TTTTAGTATTATTCCAAATCAGAAACCTCTCAATTTCAGGAAATAATGTTTTATACTCTAAATAAATATAAATTTTTTTATTGTTTAAACATTATATAAGTAAAACATTACGTCTTGAAAATAAATTAGGTATGAGAGTTTCCCTAATACTAATAGTACTACTTGAGCTATTCCGCTGGCCTGTGTAATGATCCGTTTGTCCAGTTTTTTTTTTTGATAATGCAGATTTGAACACAACAACTAGGGCAGGTGCAGGAACTCTCCATAATCTAGGAAGACTGAGTATTCTTAGCTCGGCGATTACAAATAGCTTTAAAAAAAAGACATTGGTGAGATAAGAGAAATAAGAGTTGAACTTTGGATGTTTATGAAGCAAGTTAAATTTTAAATTTCTTTCTTTTCTGTACATATAATTAAATCAATAGATTTAAATATTTAATGCATTATAAAAAGGATATTGCTGTGGCCCCACGTTGGGCGCCAATTATAAATGATGCAGGAAAAGACCGTAACAAAACACCTAAACAAACCTACTAGCTAAACCTTTATGCTCTCGGAACAAAACTTCTCCCCAGCACAGAGGAGGAATTCGACTCTTTTCTCAGTTAAACTACTAACTTCTACCATATAGTGGGTTGGACCAAATATTTAAATTCAGCTGGTTTAAACATTATAAAGAAAACATTAGAAAATAAATTAATGAGAGAGTACTACTTGAGCTATAATGACAGTTTTTTTTTTTGATAATGCAGATTTGAAACAACAACTAGGGCAGGTGCAGGAACTCTCCATAATCTAGGAAGACTGAGTATTCTTAGCTCGGCGATTACAAATAGCTTTAAAAAAAAGACATTGGTGAGATAAGAGAAATAAGAGTTGAACTTTGGATGTTTATGAAGCAAGTTAAATTTTAAATTTCTTTCTTTTCTGTACATATAATTAAATCAATAGATTTAAATATTTAATGCATTATAAAAAGGATATTGCTGTGGCCCCACGTTGGGCGCCAATTATAAATGATGTGTGCACCGGTCCGTAGGCCAAAAAGACCGTACACAAAACACCTAAACAAACCTAGCTAGCTCAAACCGAAATAAATTTCGGAACAAAACTCAAAACAGCTCAGACTGGCAACAATACTCTTATTACTTAAACTTCAACTACCAACTTCAAAACTTCAAACTTAAGCTCCAAAGTCTTAAACTTCCTGATTTCCAAAACTTCCACCAAACTTAATCCGCTCTGAACTTGGCAAAAAGCTGAATAACCTTTTCAAAGAAACGTAGTTCTGCGTTGAACGTGGCAAAAAGCCGAATCAAAGCTTCAAAGAAACGTAGTTCTGCGTTAACTGTGGCAAAAAGCCCTTCCTCTTCTCCGTCCGTTCTATTTAAGGTGGAAACCCTTCTTCCAAAATTACAAATTAAAATAGCCAATGATAGGCAGTTGACAACTGAAAATTTCCCCCCTAACGTACGTTAAACTAGAGGTAGAAAATTATTTTTATAATCAATTTTTAACCGACATTAGGAGATAACACAAAACTTAAAAAACTAGGAAAAATAAAATTTTCTTTCTTTTAAATACAATGAAAAGGCGATAAATAACATCCACCTGTCAATTAAATTAAGCGTTTACAATGATAACAGAATAAAAGCGATTTAAAATTCTCAGAAATCTACAATAAATAAAATTAAAGATGAGATTAAAATGTAAACAAATACAAACCTTGACCTCTTTCTCGTAACAATAATTTCGATTGAAGTACTTAACCAACGACACAAAACAAAAATTTAGATTATGAAAATTAAATACATAGAAAATAGGAAACCGCCCTTGTCCATCCTATAGTTATGAATCCCAAAATTTCGTCCTGCCAGACGAAATATCACAGCAATATATATTGTTTAAACAATATAGCTACTTATCTCCTCCCTCTGTAAGTCTTGTGATTTTAAATAATAATTTTAAAAAATCAGTTGAAAAATCATCAATATTGGCATAAAAAAGTAAGTTGATTAAGAAAAATAAAATCGAATGAGCATAAAGTATCGGGGATAATCCATGAGTTTTTGGGGCATATTTTTCAAAAAATAAAATTCGCAATTCAAGCATTTTTCGTCCGCCCGTCAGTATGAGGGTAGAGATTAAGCACAATAAAGTTTTAGAAAGCTGGTTTATGTCTCGAATGAATGAATGAATTAATTAATTAGGGCAACAAGTTTTTTTTCGCTAATCAGTTCGGGGTGCCCAAATTTGACTAAAATTCGTCGGGAAATTGGATTAATGTACAGGAACCAGATTTTGTAGTCTTCCTGTGATACTCCTTTTTTGGTCAAATTGGCAGGGCAAAATCTTCAATTTGATCAGGGAAACTGCAAAAGCAAAACATATTGCTTTTATGCACAGGAGCTAAATTTAGCGCACTTTCTGTCCTACTTTCTTTTTGGTTAAGTTGGTAGAGCAAAATCTTCATTTATTCAATAATTTCGACGCGTATACTGTAAATGGCATTGGCTTGTTGCAGAATTTGGGTAATTTTGTTGAGAATGCAGCAAAAAGTGCTACCACACAGAGTTGGACTGGGTCACTGGGTCACTGGGTCAACTGGGTCATCTGGGTCACTAAATTAAACTGGGTCACTGGGTCGCTGGGTCACGTCATACTCTTTTCAGTTAGACCCAGTGACCCAGTTGACCCAGTGACCCAGTTTGACCCAGTGACCCAAACCCAGTTTGACCCAGTGACCCAGTTTGACCCAGTGACCCAGTTTGACCCAGTGACCCAGTTTGACCCAGCGACGCAATTTCGCCCGGGGACCCAATTCGACCCAGTCACCTAGTTTGATTGAATAACGCAGTTAAGTCAGTGCCCTCGGTTCAAGTGTACAGATTATGCAATAAATGAAATGCTGGTTTGTTGAAAATAATACTCGATTGCTTGACAACTGCCATTTCTGTGATGTTTGCTTTAATACTGCCGTAAAAAACTTTCCATGTCCCGAATTGTATTAGAATAATGTTATTTCTTTGCTTTAGGGCTTACCAGTTTGCTTACAGGTGTTCATTCACATTTAATTTTTTTCTACTAGTAGCTTAATCCAAATAAATCTTTTCTCTAAATACTTTCATTGACTACTTGACTACAAACTATAAACAAATGCATTTGATTTTTTTAGGTATTAGTTCTCTTGAATGAAATTGGGCTACGTGCTTGTTGCCGAATATTATTGAGGAAGTTTTTTTTTAAATTAAAAGTTACTTGAAATTGTTTTGGATGATACCTAACAATAATTTAATTACTGGGTCACCGGGTCAAGACGGGTCACTGAGTAAAGCTGGGTCATGGGTCACTGGGTCAATGGGTCAAGCTGGGTCACCGGGTCAAACTGGGTCACCGGGTCAAGCTGGGTCACCGGGTCAAGCTGGGTCACTGGGTCAAACTGGGTCAAGCTGGGTCACCGGGTCAAGCTGGGTCACCGGGTCACCGGGTCACTGGGTCACCGGGTCACTGGGTCACCGGGTCACTGGGTCAGTAAACTAACTGGGTCACCGGGTCACTGGGTCACTCTATGCTTGACCCAGTCCAACTCTGCTACCACAATAGGTAGGGCAAGACACTACTGCGCTATCGTCGTCCGAACATGTGCGTGTACTTTTTAGTTTATTGTTTTGAAAATATATTTCATAATACAATTCAAAAACTTAATCCCCAACTCGATCCCAAAGCCATTCTTACGCTCGTTCTTTTACGTTAGGAATTACATTGATGATTCACTATTACTTTATCGCTATGTGCAATTTGATTTTTACTAAAAATTTTAAAAAATTCTCCGTAAATGAAAAAATTGGAAGTGCTTCCTGACGCAATTATGGTATACAAAAATTAAAATAAAGAAAGAAGCTATAGGCGCCACTAATTTTTAACTTTTCGGTGAGGGACCCTGGCTTAAAATCACAAAAAAGGGGATCCAAAGGGATTTCCATTATTCTCAACTTTTTACTAGTTCTGACAACATCAAGACTAAATTAAAAGAAATTCAGGATGAAGACAGATGAAAGTCATTTAGGATTGAAGTACTCGTGTGAAACACAAGATAGTGTAAGGGCTCCTTAGACTTGTTTATACCTTTTCGAAGTCAAAGTACTAACGATACACAATTGTCGAGACCTTAGTGCCGACAGCGACCGTACTAACGTCATTCAGAGATTTTCATTTAACCCCTGACATTTGTGGGATCGAACATTCAAACTGCAGCGTTATAGAGATATCCCAATACTTTCTCTATGCGGAAATGTGTCTTATTTGGGACATGTCGATGTCAAAATGGCCGCAAGTATAGTGAAATTAAAAAACGGTGAAGTGTTAAATTGTAAAGCAATCAGTGTTAAATGTGTTCAACTATTTGTCTATCAGTAACAGAATAGTAATTCTAATTTCTTGAATTTTGAAATACCAAATAATTTTAGTGTTGATACAGTCTCGTCCAAGTTATATAATTTGGAAGAACTATGCATTCAAGCAGAATGGGGAACTTCCTTTTTGATTTGAGATCTCATGTCGCATTCAAAAGCACTCCGCACCACCCCTTGGTAATTTAATTAATTGAGCATTGTTTCATTAAAAAAAAATGTGGCGAGTCGGTATTTAACTAAAAAAAGGTGGTACGGTAATTTAAAACACGACGAAGTTCCCGCTAGCAACGGCTTTTCACTTGTAGAAAGCCGACTATAAAAATCAGATGCGATTTTACGTTTGTGTATATGTGATATTTTTCCCTTGCAAAATTAACGAGCTTTTCCACTTTTGGGAATAAGAATAAGATGCAAAGTTATAACTCCTAGTGGAACTAACATTATTCATCAAGTTTTAAACTAACTTTTAGAGCTGTGTCTTCGAGCAAAAACGGTTACGATCCAAGTAAACAGGGTAGAATGATAATTCTTTTGTTTGCGTGTTTGTTGCGGAACTTTATTCATTAACGTTGTCTTTTTTTCTTTCAGTTAATGGGGGTTGGTCGCAGTGGTCGGCGTGGGCCGACTGTCGCTGTCCAGGTTCCGCTTTGGCGACGGGGCAGAAAAGAACTCGGACGTGCACAAATCCGGCCCCTCACAATGGTGGGCAGCAGTGCCAAGGGGTTAGCGTGCAGAGGACAAAGGACTGTCAAACTTGTCCCCAAGGTAAGTCTCGGCAGGATTTTTTCTATTTACACGCTAACCCGCTTTACTAATTCACGCATACGTTAATGTAGAAGAACTGGTAGTGGATACGACTTACGAATTTGACGACTTCGAGTCGTCCTATGGTAAGGATGGCGCCCTTAAAAGGGGTGCATTCGGTGTTATTAAACTGATGTGTAGTGTTCATTCATTTAGCCGAACCCGCACGCTGGTCTGCATGGTCCGAGTGGTCAGATTGCAGTTCAGATTGCATGCGAACCAGGCGGCGTCAGTGTATCACTGTTTCCGGTCAGCAACGTAAGCAATGCAACGGTCGGGAGACCCAAACAACACCCTGCTCGTCAGAACGATGCCCCTCGACGCAACTGGCGGGAATTAGAGAAGGTAACGTTTTTTCCTAAATTGATTACACCGAAACCGCCCCTTTTTCAGCTGGTTAATTTATGACGGGAAACCCGCCCGTTCTAATCAGAATCAAACAAAAGACGTCTTCGCCTTAAATGTCACGAAGTATAGCCTTAAACGTTTGAAAGAACTCCGCCGAGTAGAACAATTCAACCCTTAGTGTAGCGTAGTAGGGTAAAATGTCTCATGAGAATTTCTATAAACTAGCGAACGTGGAGATGGCGTTCCGGTTGAATAATTTGGGAAACAAATAGAGTAATAGAGAGTGCGTTGCAGCGTCACTAATTTAAATGATTTCCATAACTGAGTAGCCTGATATGCGGAAGTGCTATTATATCTGAATCAATATAGAGGTATTTAACAGCAGTTCTCATGTCGGTATGGTTATGATGGGTTAAGTCCTCGACCACGTTGGATATAATTCCGGATTATCGCTGACATTTGGCAGCCGGTTATGACGCCTAGAAATGTTAATATTGACCGTCAACCTTTTCTCTAATCCCCAGACCAAATCCTAAATCGCACTTTGCAGGAATTCTCAATTTGAAAGCGATCGCTCGACTATTAATATGTGCCGTCGGTATTATTGGCGAAAAACTTTATGTTCCGTTAAATGAGAGTCGATACCAACAAATTTGAAATTCCTCTAGATTTCAAATGCAAAGGTGCAATTAAATAATCGCCCTATGCCTCTGTGCTTTGGGAGGCTTTAACTTATCTTGTCTTCTGTTCATGGTTACATAAATTAGTTGTGTTGGAAATTAGAATTTACACCACTCTGCGGTTAGTTAGTCTCTAAATAAACTAATGCGTTTGCCGAATTCAGGGGCAAATCCTATCGTGCACGCTTAAGGGATTTCATTTTTAATTAGCATTAATGGATGAATAACGTATCAAACGTAATTGTACGACACCGTTGCCAACTAAACAGTTATTACTACACAGATTAATTTACGTGTGTGATCAATGAGCACATGTTGCCGAATAGATATTACTAATTAGCATTAGTTCGCCCCAATTTTGAAATCGCCTGTGTTTATATCTTAATTGAACTTTAGCGATTGAATTAAAAAAAAAATGAAACTTTCCAGCATGTATTTCGATTTGATACCTTAGATCTCTCTACTAAAAGTTTCTGGAAAAGTGTCTATTGAAAGCAATGGGTCGATGGAAAGACAATTTCAACTCCTAAGACCAGATCAGATCACCAAAATGGCAAATGCTTGCAAAAAGTATTTCTTCATAAATATAATATTTCTATTTACACAGTTTTAATGGCGGGAATATACTGCTAGAAAAACGTTTTTGATATTTAGTTCTTGCTATATAGGGTGGCGAAACGAAGTTTGATATGATATTGCGTTTATCCCCGCTACAAGCGGCTTTAAAATCTTAAACAGTACCATACTCCGTATAACACATGGAATAAAAGCTCTTGAGAATGCCTATTTATCTCTATAAATAAATTGATATTCGGAGTAACCGTTTTTAAGATATGGGCATCATTACATTTGTAACTACTCTTAATTTGTACCAAAATTATTAATAAATCCAGCCAGAAAATTATCTGGAGTGCACTCAAAAAGCATAAACAAAATCAGCAAAGCTTTTGGGATACCACCCGTCAGAAAAGGTGTAGTGCAAAAACGTAAAATAAATCAACTTGATTTCTTCCGGTACCCGATACGGCAATTTAAAATAATAATATAATAATAATTTAAAATAAAATCAGCTTCCTAGCTGAAACCAAAAATCGCGCTTTTGGAAAAGTGTCTTCAAAAAATGGTACCTAAGGATAGGGGGAAAATGTTTCTCACGAAATTTTCCGATGTAGAATATTCAATAAAAAGTATAGGTTTCTATTTCAAAAAGTTACGTTGCCTTACGCTTAATCCTCAAGGCACAGTACGCGATAATATGCATACTATCATCAAATGAGCCCTTGCATATAAAAAATTTGTTATCGGAATTAGTTACCGGAAGCGGTGAAAACGGCGAGATGGCGAGAATTTTTCCGTTGCTCAGGCGCCACCAGAAGGAAAAAAACCCTCTTTTTGGCCAGGTTGATTCAGGAAAAAAACGTCCACACTCAGACAGAGACGACAGTAATTCCAGTAGTCAGGAGAGCTCAGACAAACGGCGGCTAGTGGCTACGGTGCTACGAATCTAAAAGCAAAAGCAAAACACACGGCACAAGCAGCCAAACCCCAGTGCATTAGTGGTATCTATGGAAAAGCGGACAATAACAACCCCCTCTTCCTCTTCTACTAGACCTTAAAGCTTACCTTTTTAACTAATCGGTACGGCAGCGGCGGAACTACGGTACGGAGAAAAACAATTGAAAAAACTATATTAATACGGTGTTTCTTAATGCAAAACGGAAAAACAAACGCGAAGATGGCCAAAAGATTTAAACCAATTAAATACGGTACGGTTACAAAATAAATCTACGGAAAGCATCAGAAGTACGGTACTTACAAAACGTCACTAGCGAAAGTGCAAAAGCAAAAAGATCCCCACAGAATCAAGCGGTAACTTTATAAAAATCCGGATTTTTGGGTAGTGGTATATGGAAAATCAATTCTTCGCTGTATTCAGATCCAAATGAATTCTATTTTTAATTCATTTCCTATTCCTTTTCCTGATATCGGAAAAATATGGGATCGATATCACGCTTGAACTTTTTTAAGTGCGCTTCTATGTGGTAATCCTATTAGTAGGGGAGCTAGCACGAAATCCACTGAACGAGAATGATCAAAATTTTAACCGATGGAGTTCCATTTTGCCCTACGAGATCGATTTGCCTCATACGACTTAAGGCGCTGCGGGTACTTCTTGTGGTACCAATTCTGAAAGGTTGTTTTTCGAGAAAATAAGTTATACACCAAATGAAAACGTTGATAATAGCTCTTAAAAAAATATTTAAAAAAATCGCGCACATTTGATAACTCCGTAAAAAAACAATTCTTAGTCGGTTTTTCACGAACTTTCTACGGATATAACTAGGTTACGGTTAGACGAATGAAGCTGATTTTTTCTACAGACTGATGATAGGTACTACTAATGACTTAACGGTGGTTAGTTTTTAAATTTGTTCTCTAATTATAAGATTATCTTATCATCTTAACATTATAAGATATCTTCTAATTAGAGAAAAAATTTAAAAAAGAAACACTCTCATAGCCATTGGCTGTGCCCATCATTATAGTCTGTAAAAAAAATCAGCTTCATTTATCCGACAGTAACCTAGTTATAACCGTAGAAAGTTCGTGAAAAACCGACTAAGAATTGTTTTTTTACGGAGTTATCAAATGTGCGCGATTTTTTAAAATATTTTTTTAAGAGCTATTATCAACGTTTTCATTTGGTGTATAAGTTATTTTCTCGAAAAACAACCTTTCAGAATTGGTACCACAAGAAGTACCCGCAGCGCCTTAAGTCGTATGACCTGAGGCGGCAGACGATCGATTTTAGCATACTCTGATAGGGCAAAATGGAACTCCATCGGTTAAAATTTTGATCATTCTCGTTCAGTGGATTTCGTGCTAGCTCCCCTACTATATTAATACCTAGGCCTAATTGGAATTCAATTTCAATCGGCGATATCGCTCTTATCGCAACTTGCTGTCGAACTGCCTTCACAGCGAATACTCGTTTCTATCCTGGTTTGCACTTACTATTGGAAAATGAAATCTCAAAATATTAATTTGCTTTCATCTTCCAACTAATAACAGCTTTCGGAGGCTGCAAGACTAACTTTTATCTCTTGCCGAGACCGGTTTGAAATAATGATTTAAATACTACTTTTGTTAACGGTAACGACGGCTGAAACACCATTCTATAAATTAGAACAATAACCTTAATTCGCAAAATTTTATCGATTCATAGTAACCGTTTTGCCTCATTTCCGTATGGCTAATATACATATCCAAAATTTGAACAAAATCCGTCGAGCCGTTACTTCGTAAAATTGCGAACGACGGGAAAACAAAGTAATGATCTAATTCTAATACATTAACATTTAATGAAATTTTAACATGTCCAAAAATCGATGATCGCAATAAACACCTTTTATTCGTTATTTAGTCGATAAAAAAGCATCGCAACACGAATCTAATAGAAAAGATTGCATTTGAACCTATAGTTACCACGTTAAGTACAGCTATATTATCTGGTATTTGAAAAGAAAATGCTTCGGCACGCAAAATTTAATTTCGAAGGGAGCAGCAATTACGTTTATTCAATTATTCGTCACAAATATAGAGCTATGGATAGCGATAAAGATCATTTTGGTATTCATAAGTGTACTGCATGATATATTTGTAAAATTTCAATTTCAAATCAACCCTTAGCCTTACTCTGGTATATAATATTTTAAAATGAAGTACTAAGAATTGTAATAGCTTAACACATAAAAAATATGAAATTCGATGATATAATTTATCAATTAATAAAGAAATAATTAAGCTGATGTCTAGACACAATTTAGAATTCACCATTACGCTTATAATCTCAATTAATTTTAAGTGTAGACACAGTTTTAATGGTAATTTTACATATAGACATAATCTTAATGCTTCATCGTAATTACCAATACTCTTTTAAAACGGAATTTTAATTTTCAGTGGCGTTATTAAAATAACGACGTGTAATAAAAGCGTGTGCGCGATTAAGTTTAAACAAAATCAATGAGCCCAGCACTAAAGGATTAATAACTGAATTTTGTCGATAGCACGCTTTTAGTGTAGGTAGGTATCCACTAACCGTGATGCGTCGTCCATTTTTGAAGTGTACTTAATTTCCCTCTTGATCTACTTTCGGATTAATTGACAGAGAATTCGAGATAAATTATTCGAGTCTAATTAAGTTGAGGTCGAGAATAATTTTGCATCGATGACATCTACGAAAAAAAAACGACCGTAAGGGGATGATTAACATCGAGAATGCAACGCTCGCTCGTTAAAAAATTTGCATGAAAG